TGCCATCATCTACCAAGCAAAACTTGTGTTCTAGGTTCTAATCAACATACATTTTTATATATAAACATAGATAATATCAGACCGATACCAACCATTATTCTCATGAATAAAATGTTTACAGCGGGTGTTGAATTGAAGCCGCGATCATCGGATGTAAAACGAGGGGCTAAATTACTTGACCACAAGGTCGACATTTATATTTTAAAGTAATTGGACTGGTAAACAAACAAGTCCACCCGATGGAAAGCGGTATCTACCTATAGTCTGAAGCATAACAAACTGTACGTATAATTTAGACTGTAACGCATGTGGCTTCGCTAACAATTAATTGATTGATTAATTCGAAACTGTATCTAGTGGTATCAGTTTTCAATAAAGAGAACTTAATTAATCTGAAAGCGTCGTAGCCTACTACTATTATACCCCACCTTAGACCCTAAAGGTCATGATGTCGAATTTGGCCGATACAATAAAAATTGTGTTCTCTTTATTTTAATGTACAAATAAATACTGTTTGTGCTCCCTCTTTAGTAAATTAATTTGTATGTATGTCTAAACATCGTAGGCTTTAAGATATAGTATTAGAAATTATATTTAGTATATATTTAGAGCTGCGTTCACCACATCTATTTAATTGTTGATAATGCCTCCTAAGAGCACCATTTAAGATAAGAGTCATGGAGTTATATAATAAAATAATTAACGATTTTCAGTAGGTACGAATCAATCATATTAAAATTGTGTCTAGGTAGATAATTCTTTTTTATTTATTTATCTGTTAATACAGATAAATAAATAAAAAAGAATTATTATTATTTCAAATTAACAGCTTTTCACTAAATGCATTCATAATGTTAAGTTAAATTTAATAAATATTAAGCTAATCTTAAAAGATCTTACGTTACTTTTAGTTTATAAGTTTTATTTATTTTAATTAAAAAAAGTTAGCGTACCGAAAGTCGCTAATTTAGTACATACAGTTTTTGTTGTAAAGTCCCACCTAACTGAAAGCCAAATAGTATACAAACGTAATTGAACCATTTTCATCATAAAACAAAGGTAATTAATGATATTTGACATTTAATGCAATAGACCTATATATAGTGCAAATCCAATCTAATACTCATAATTAACAGTCGACTACAATCACGGCTTTGTTGCACGCAGCGACCCCTTATAAATGACCAACATATTATGTTTTGATGCCTGTCACCAACACGGATATGAGTTTGGTATAATCGAAATGCAGTGTATATAATATACACATATGTAGCAACAATATTGCATTGTCAAAGCAACTAAGGGAATCCAATTTGCAATGCAATGTATGACGAGATGCAAGCAATAGTTCGGGTAGTAATATTCACGATCTGGAGTGAACATTTAGTTCGAAGCTGTTTTGGGAACTAGTTCGTTCGCTCCCGACTCTAGTCAGAGAAATGCTGGACCTATAGGTGTTGTTGATCGCATGACATTTTATCGAACGAACTAAAGAGCGATTGCTCTGAGAACTATTGTATTTCGCGTAGCACTTCTTTACCAGGCTAGTTCATTCGTGAACTATTCGAGCCTACAACGGCTACGATTTCCGAGTGCGGTGACCACAATGGATTGGTTCAGCGGTTGAACGCATCCTTGTGTCATTATCGGCTATTGTCATCTGAACACGTAGATATTGCTACACAATGCTATTAGTTACGTATTGGAATTTAGTTCCACATATAATAATGCGTGCAATTTGGACAATAGATTGAGATTCTGTTGTTCCAAATCAGATCAAAATACTTATAATATATATGTAGATCTGTTGCAATCCACTTATGATAAATTCCTCCCTTATTTACTTTAAGCCCCGACCTAACCAGAAACTCGCTTTCATTCTTTGTAAATTAAATTTACATGATTTTAATAATACATATGATACATATATAGGCCTATACTTAGCATCAATAGCCTAATAATATCATATTCAATTATAGTTATTAATTCAATCAGCCGCCTTAAATCTAATCTATTTATCTGATCGGCCTACTACCGACTCGCCCCTATGTCACACGAAAATTTAATTTAATTTCCAGAAAAACCTTAACGAATTAAATACCGAAACCTTTCTCAGAAATCACTCTTTTGATGAATAAAAACCTTAAAGCCGTTTAGTAGTTTATTAGGTCATTGCGAATGTGTATATATATATACAGAAGAGAAGAAGTTCGTTTTATGAGTATAGATGATAAATTTAAATATTTCCAATCCGTTTAAGTTTCAGACAGTGTCTTTAATTAAAGGTCACAGGTCATTACAATCGCTTGCAAGACAAATGAATCTAATCGTGGTTTAAATACGCAAAGCTTTATAGTAACGAAATTATTATAATCAGGCGATAAATAAAGGTTAACGAACTTTAAGATGTCGTGTACAGAAAACTAAAAAATATAATACATCGCAAAGCCGAGTGTGTATAACACAAAACCAATGGTTACAATTTTACAAGTTCAACTGTTTTACTGTGGCAATTTGGTAAAAATATTGGTTATATAGGAGTAGTACAGACTGTTCCCATTACTCTGTCTGGTTTTACTGTGATAAAAGATGACCCTTTGTCCGTCTTTATGATACAATTTACTCATATCATTTCATTAAAATCCATAGAGTAATCTACCTTTTTTCATTTCAAAATAACAAACAGACATTATCTATGGCACTAATTTTTTTTTTTAATTTATAGTTATTTTTATGCTTCTTCTATATAGTAGTAGTCTTAGTCTTTAGATTAACGAAAACCAAAGAACGAAAACTTATAACTTTATATCATCATACTGATGAATCAAAGACCCATGTAATGGTCATTTGTAAATTCCATTTCGGCCCGTTCAATATCCCTTATAGAGATTGGATAAGAGATATTGCAGTTCAATTATTGGGTGCGCAGGCACGGCATCTTAGTCCTCCAGGATAGCAAAGCCTGAGCTGTAACACGAGCGTCACGTAATGACATGATGACAACATGATGCCTACGGCTACAATTTACCCTTTATGCCTGAACTTAGATTGTGTAAAGAACTACCTGCCGATGTTTAGTTCAGAGACTACAGCATGGGGTTTTTCCAGAATATATTAATGTTTCTTAAGGATCGGCAACGGGCACGTGACACACCCTGTGTTTCAGGCATCTAAAAGCTACGGTAACCATTTACGAGGGCTAGTTCTTGTTTGCCATCATAGTGGTATAAAAAATATTATACAGCCGACGGTCGCGCTTTCCGTCAGGTATATCACTCGATGGTTAGCTCGCTTGCCAGTACAGTAACAAGAAATGCAATATCTACGGTATTAAGAAATAGATGTAACGCTCAAACTAAATACGTACAACTAAGCCAAGTTCCGTTTTGTAATATACATGTATAGTGTTATGTAAAGGATATATTAATGCAATTCCAATAAGAAATAATGTGGTAATGTAGAAATAGACTTTGATATAATTTTATACTTAAATATTAATAATAACTCAAACTAATTCACACAGCGCCATCTAGTCCCACGCTAAGCAGTGCTTGTGTTATAAGTACTAGACAACTGCTAATCATACTTAAACATATTTTTTTCTACTGAACTTGACTGTAGCAGATAAATTGTATATATATATACAATTTATCCGCAAATGATTTTTAATTTATAGCAAATTAATTATTTACTAATTTGATTAGTAAATAAGTATTGAATATAAATAGGAAACACCTAGAGCGACAAAAACATGAATACAATTTTTTGCACCGTGCGAGGAGTCGAACCCGCGACCCAAAGCGATATTAAATCATTAGACCTCTAAAATAGTGTATAATATGACTGCACAATTTTATGAAGATAAAAATATACTATTTTTTTCACTTAGAAAAATTAATTAAGAAATATAAATATGAATTTCAGTTTTATAAATACAGTTACTGGTTTTAGTTTCGGGCCGTTGTACCCTTTACGACTGACCTAGTATACAGTGAGTATCTACTTCTGAAGATAGTAACCTTTTTGTCATGTAAGATTTAAATATTTAGTTATCGGTCCTAAAAAGTAATACTGAACTAAATGTATTACTGTTTAGTTATATTATAGAGATTTTCGCATTGCATAAACGAAATTCCACAGACGCCGCTTATTTCTATGAAGACTTTCTTCTCACTTGCAATTTTAGAAGTAAAACAACTATACACAGGATTTAAAATATCTTCAGTTTCAATAAATCCGCAAACATTACCTATGACGATATCCAGGCATCCATCGGGCAGACAACTAAGTTTTAAGTATAAAATCTTACCTTTACTCAATTTATACCCGTGAAAATGCCGTCTAACTGAATAAAGAAACGTAACAAGTTCAAATTCAGTTCGAAGTCCCATCTGTTTCAAATCTGCAGTCGCTCCGATAAGAGAAAATGCAGTGTTTTCAGTATACTAAGAAACGTTTAGATAAATTGGTATAGCTAGATTTATATCTACAGATAATATATTATTTATTATTGCCCACAGATATTACACGGTTTAAATAATAACACATTTAAATAAATTAAATGCAGATTTTAAAGTTCAATGTAGAATAAAAATTCAAAATACATAGTCGCAGTATAGAATTATGAACAGGACATCTATGTAAATGGTGACAAGGTTGGTCCGAATATTAATAATAAAGTAATACTGGTATTTAAAAACATTAAACTTGGTATAATAATTTTTAGATTTCCCAAGGTTAAAAATTTGTATAAATCTTTAACCGTTATATATACAAGCATATAAATTAACCGATTTTTCATTGCAATATTTTAATAATAGAATGGAAATGTAAAAAACTATTATTAAATCAAGAAATATTTTTTTATAATTCTTGTGTATATGATATAACAAACACGACCTTTTTCCTATTTAGTGCTCATTATAAATCATCATCATTTACATAGACAGTCTCCCAAAACTTAATGTATATATAAATGTATCTTATAAGTTATGACTTACGCCTCAGTGTTGTCATCTCTGGATTCTGAGCGTTCAGCGTTGGCCTGTCCGCGGCGATGCCTGGCCCGCTGCTCGTCGCCCAGGCCATACAGGCCGGCGACGGCCGCCATCTCGCCCCGGCTTCAAAAGCCCATGCCCAGCACACTCCGAGTATGAATCACATAGTCCCCTCCATAGCGTCACAGCCGACAAGCAGTCCCCTCCGCGACGCGCACTCCACTAACATGCCCGAACTAGTCCATCATCACAACCCAAATTGTCTACACTAACACAGCTCGGCTGCACGCAAATGGACTACGCATCACAACGTTACTATCTAAGATTTAATCTTAATTTGGACGCATTATTTGGTACAGTACATATTTTGATTTAATCATCACAATTTAATTATTGTATCACGTCATAAATTGAATTCGGATAACCGAGGGTTGTCTATCTAAGTAGCGGTACGCTTCCTTATAGCTGTGGATGCACCGGTCCCAAAAGCAGGTGGTTGAGCATGATGGGCGTGCTTCCTAATTCTCTGCTTATACGAGAGCAGCTGCATCTGTATATGGAAAAGCTTGATTCGATCTAGGAATTCCACGTGTGGAAATACTTCAACGGTATTTATAATTTAAGGCAAAGAGCACGGCAATTTAATCATTAAAGAATTTTCTTTATACGATAACGTTATAGTTTGCGAGGCTTTAAAGTACGATGTTGAAATGACAGTTGTACTGTTTATTAAAGACTTTATATAAAAAGGTATATGAAAAATTGTAATCTTTGTGGAAATAAATGTTTCTATTAAAACTATTTTATTATTAAGAAACTGATATTTACATATATATTTAACATGATAATTACCAGTCTGCAATAAATAACGTCTGTTTACTAGAAATAAATATCAGTATAATGTTTAAAGACAGTGGCGTTATTTTGTATTAAGTTTTACGAAGAACCCAATCTGCATAAATTCCAACACGTGTAGTGTACAAAGTAACTTAATATATAGAAGTAAAGTTTATATATTAAGCAAACTATAAAAAACTAATAGAAGTTTCAACGCTGAGCAAGCTATTCATTATAGCTTGTACCTAAATATGTAAAATGATATTCCATTGTAACTGAATCTAGTAATATTTAGAGCATCAAACGAGAACGCTCCCGGGACAACGGTAGTACCTTGCATAAAAGTTGAAAATTAATTAAAAGCAGCGGGTGTTTGCAAGTTATAAAATGCTTTGAAAAGCACAGACCGGTAAAGGCACAGTTCGAGTGAACTGAGGTCAACAATAGACCGCTTCGAAACAGAGTTACCTATAAAAATGTAAAAAGTACTAAAAGGCAATAATTGTCCTCAATAAAAGCCAACGTTTACTTATCTTAAAAAAATTTCGGTTTACGAAATGTTTATTTTGGACATACAATAAATTGGGAAAAGGTTGAACTTTTCATGTTGTTGTCGTAGAGTTTTTCATTAAATATTTTTCGATACAACCATATCGGTGAACGTTTAACATAAATTATATTAACTTTATTGTGGTGAGTCTGCTTTTGAAATGCGAGGTAAAAAAAAATGTGTCAAGTGTAACACATTAACACATTTTTTTTTCATTTCACCGCTCATTTCAAAAGTAGACTCACCACAATAATGTTAATATAATTTAAAGGTTTTTTGAATACAGATTATTATTCTGTTTAGTATTACTTAATCTGAATTACATTTGTTAGCTGTGATTTTATATACATATTGAAAATTAATTGAAGACAGCAGGTGTTTGCAAGTTATAAAGCGCTTTGAAAATACTAAAACATTAAAAAATATTAAGTACCTATATATTATAAAAAAAACGTTGGAAAACATTTAAAGTGTCCATGAATATATTATTAGCAAAATGTTTAGGAGTTATTTTTAATTTAGCGATATGGCTCTCAGCTATAGTAATATAAAAAGAGGCAATGGATGGAACCATTTCCTCTTAATTCTTTAAATCTTATTTAAATCTTTTTCCTTATTAAAACTATTGTTACCAAATGTAACAATATCGGAGATGAGTATCCACTGTTTGGTATGAGAATAAACTCTATTGTCGATTATTCGTCTTCTTATTAAAGAAGATGAATAAGAATGTACATCTAAGCAGGGAAATAAACCAGCTACCACGTAAAACATCATCCGTTACATTCGTCATGTACATCAATAGATCTTCGACAATTTTAAAGTACCGTGCAATTATTTAGGTTTACGAATAAACTTGTGGAGAAGTACAAGTGTTTTCGTTAAACAAGGGAATTAATGGTTAAATTGGAAAGCCTGGCGAAACCGATAAGCGAGAGTTCCGAAAAGCCAAATAAACTTATTTACTAAACCTTAATGGATTGACACTAACTGTCATACCGCCTTGTTTTTAACAGTGAAATGTTTTTATTTATATTAATATTATTATTCTAATAATAATATTTTTCATGACTATTATATTATATTCGTAGTATACAATTAAGCGTAGAAAAGAATAAAGTAGATCCTAAATAAAAATATTTAGATATCTGATATACTTGGTTAGATAATTATCCTACGAACACCAGAGTGTCTAGACAAATTGCAAATGAAACTTGCAGTAGACTTCACTTATTTTGGGTCTATGTCGTAGATCTACATGAGTAAAGATGTTTATATATGTTTTATCGATAATATCTCATAATATATCGATAATAATCATGCGTTAGCAATCGTTTGGTTACCGATAGATTAGACAAACACGCAAGTTTCCTGATCATTCTTCTTGTGATGATATGAGATTGCATGTAGAATGAGTGGTAGCATAAAGAAATATGACTATTCAAAAGTTCTTATATTCCGTTTATTTGAATAATCGTTAATTATATAATGTTAATTTGATTATATCTATTTGTATTAGTTTCACACTTTTCATAGCCTCGCTGGTAATTCTCAAGAGGGAAATATTTTTTGTGTGTACATGCATACAAATTCGTAAAATCTTTGTAAAGGTGTAATCTCAATTTATCTATTAATTACAGTAAACCAGCTACTCGCCCTGGCTCCGCCCGGGTGTACGTGTTTTATACATATAAACCTTCCTCTTGAATCACACTATCTATTAAAAAAACTGCTTAAAAATTCATTGCGTAGTTTTAAAGATATAAGCATATATGGGCACGATCAGCAATTTTTTTTAATTTAGTGGTAATTTAAAATTGCCTTAATACGCACTGTATTAAGCCCATTTTAAATTAAAATACATAGCAAAAAATTGGGTTTCTACAAATACTGTTACCATAGAGCTGATGTCAGATATTTTGTCCTGATTTATCGTTACTTATCAATTACATTACGTAAGAAATTTAATTTAAGTATTTATTTTATTAACTTTATCGCTGAAGACGAATTGCTCGATTAATTTAACTGCTTAGGATCCTAATAAATTAATAGGCAACTGTATTGTTAAGTAACATCTGTTTACTTTTTTAATAATGTTTTTTTAACTCTATATAAAAGCGTAATTTTATAAATTAGTTGAGTACATGTAAATATATGTAAAACTATTACTATTATAAACTTTAATGTATACAATTATTATATACTAGATAGTGTATTGAAGACTACGCGACTGAATGGATTTTAATTAAATTAGACGACTCGTAATAGACGACGGTATCTACTTACCATCACAATGTCTGCCGTTATAGTTTTTAGAATACCTTTTCCCATAAATGTGTTGATCATATATATATTGAATATTACGGTTTCTACCTAGCAACACGTTTTCTAAGCCTTGTAGGGTTTACATATTGAGTAGATAGACTCCCTATAAAAGAGTTATTTTATGTTATTACTTACTACGGGTAAATTGTTGTCCTACTTTCTAGACTATTGAATATTACTGTGTATTCGGTAAAATAAAATACAGAAAGGGTCAGCTGTAGAGCTATAATCATAGTGTATACAAAACGACATCCTACTCTATATATCGACAGCGACTGTTTTGTTAGTGTAATTGGATTTAAGAAAGTATTTCAATATTTAAAAGATATAATATCTGTGTGTAGGTATAAGCTGATTTAAGTAACAATTATTATTTGTAAAATTCACTAATTAACGGTTGCCAGTAAATCTTCGAGTGAAGTCTGGGCTTGGCACTAGTTTAATATACTTTTAAAAAATTTTAATATATTAATATTATGTTTTTGAAGTCATTGTTCTTTTGAAGTTTGATTATGAATAATTTCATATTTCTTTGTGATTATATTATTAGGATAAAAGCGTAAAAACGAGTAGGTAGATTTTTTTCACTTCTTGTATTAAATATGTATATTGTTAGAAATGCTAAAATCATATATAACATGACTAATGTATTAAGCCAAATTGAATCATCTCTTTATATAATTTGATGAAGAATATTCCTTACTGATTTATTTGCAAAAGACTAATTTCATCTCTACCGCACGAATTGTAGAAGAAATCTCTTCAACCCCTCTCGAAGACCTTTGAACTTTTAATCTTTACATAAGAATTTATTATTATACGCTTTTATATCATTTATATTCGAGAGCTATTAGCTTTACCGTGGGTTTTATCTTAAGTTTTTATGTTAGATACTTAGAATTTCGAGCGTTTCCAAAGAATTGTAGGCATATTAGGTGAGACTGAGCCTTTTATTATTATTACATAAATATTAATAATAAAAGACTCAGTCGTACTCAGTAGTAGCAAATTAATAAGTCTTTAGGTGTAATAAATTTACATTTAGTAAATATGTAATCATATCACTAGATGAGATAGCTACTGAGAATTATCAAAATATTTTACAAACATACTTGTTTCATTAATACATCGAATTCTTATAATGGAAAATTAAGTAGAACTACTTAACTTAAACAATGCGAGTGAGAATTTATCCTCACTTTGAAATACGTTAAAAATTTAAGTATACCAGCGTGCACGTGCGAAGATATTTATAATTTAGTAGGAGGTAACACCGCTTTACAACTCGTTACACGTTCCTTCTGTCGTGTAGGTATTTCCAATAACATTTTCTTTCGATCGTGTCTACATCATATGTGCAAGCTCTTTTTCATTGAGTACATTTGTGTACCTGAAAAATTATATTAACAAATGTCGCACGCTAATTATATTTTTCTACTACCGGGCTGCTAAGTTAGACTCGATTGCCTAGCATAGAAATGTAACGGTCGACCGAACCAGCATACTAGGCTTTACCGGGTGCTCATATGACAGTGTGCAAGCTATATACAAACTTATATTGGAAGCCTTTATCTTATAGCAGCATTCTGTTTAGAGAATTGTTTATTAATTTATCCATTACAAATTAAACATCAGATATTTTCCATCTATTTATTTTCTATATATATGATATCAGTTTAGACTAGCTCTATTACCACTATCTACATGAATATTACTCGCTGACAATGTTTCTGTATTTCTTTTCTAAATCCGATAATAATTTTTCAGTTGATTTTACAAACAATATAGGAAACAATATGTTTCGTATTTC